GCTGTGTTCATCCAGCCTTGCACCTTGCAGTTTAAATATGTTTCCTTGGTTGTAAAATGCTTTGAGATACTCTGAGATCAAAAAGCAAGTCCTGTAGTACTAATAATTTTGCCAGATGGATTTACGCAGGAATATATTAGCCTGATTGTAGAGCAGAAGAATTAAATATAGAACTCCAAATGAAACCTAATTATTGCATATTGACTATGCAGTAAGGCAGCATTATTTTGAATTCTGGGCTATTGAAAGTAAGACACTTGTATTTTGCAAGCAATTTGAATACCATTGAAAGAGCACTTTATTTTAAACCAATTGTTTTTTTTGTTAAACCATTGAACATATCAGTAGAATAAATATGATACTATTGAATAAGGCATTAAATACTTACATTAAATAAGTAAATATAGACTTAATACTTATACAATAAAGTAACTGGTGGAGCTAATAATTTTTCATAACTGACACAAGTTGCTGTTTCAGTGTAATTAGAAAGGCTCTGTGTAATTAATCTGCCAATGCACTGCCATGGCACAGGACACAAAGACTAGAAATTACAAACAAGTTTAAATATGCTTCCATAAGAAATATATGAATTCCACTCAGCGGGAGCTAGGCAAGTGTCCAGTTGCAGCTTCTCTGATGGAGGAGGCACAGAGCTGAGGCAGAGAAGCAGATGTGAATCAAAAATGAACAGGTCCTCTCAAATATGGGAGGCTGAGCTAGGAGCTGAGATATCAGCATAATGATCAAATCTGTAGAATGCTAGCTGGAAGTTGTAGGGGAGAAACAACAGTACATGGAACTGTGAAGGTAAAACAGGAAATGGAGGAGAGTCAAGAAGCAAGTTTTATTAGAAAAGCAAAATATTGTGAATTAGTTTTTTTTGGATTCCGTGTGAAATTTTGGTTTAAAATATTGTGTCACTCTCCTTTTAGGATTCCAAATTTTGCTATCTAAATTGCTCTGTTAAAGAAGTAATGCAAAACTCACCCAATGTTCTCAAAGCCCTCACATTATTGTTGCTGGTTATAGCTAATATGATACCCAAGAGGCCATAAGAAAATCAAAACTGCTTGGAGAATGCCTGACTAGAATGGAGTGACATAATAAAGACTTGACAGGTTTGCCTTGTTTCAAATGTCATCTTTCTGTCATTGTGTCTTTGAATGAATTCAATCCACACATGTGATATTTGACATTTGATTAGGTAAAAACAATGAAGAAGTACAGCATAGTCATTGGTCTGCATTTTAAGAACAGTTGGTTTTTATCTCTAATAACAAAGCTATATACTGCAAGTTTCAGATAACATTTATTTGCATATTTGTCCTAACAAAGAGCACTGATCTATAAGTACAATTTGAGAACAAAACAGCATACTAATGGTACAATCCTGATCAGCTAGCAATGGCTTTTCTGGAGTAACAAGGTGTAAAATATGTGTAGAAAACACAATCAAATGTATTCAAGATCCCTTTTAATATAGGTTGTAATTTGTGTGGACTAGAATGAATGAGTTTAACCTGTTGTTCTTGCACCAGAGGTACTACAGACACTTATGGTGTGAATAGCTCAAATCAGTGGTGCACAAGTCATCCTTGAGGAACCTCGACTTTGTAGTCTGTAAAATGAATCATAGAATCTTACAGAGCAGAAAGTGACCGTTTGACCCACCATGTCCGTGCAGGCTCTTTGAAAGAGCTACCCAATAAATGGCTTAATATCACTAAATAATCAAGTGGCTTTTAATTTTTATATATAGAGAGAGTTCATAAAATGTTGGAGAGTTGCTGGATTTCATTTTGATTAGACCAAGGCACCAAAGTTAAGTTTGTGTTTGGGGGCTGGATGGGTAGTATGGAGATCAATAGTGAACCATTAACTCATCTACTCTCTCCACAGATGCTGCCTGACCTGTTGAGTAATTTCAGCATTTCATTTTTGTACCAGAATTAAATGCACTTGATGAATTAAACGTTTTTGATAAGACACAAATAAAACTTCTAAATAGTAACAAGAGGAAATAAGCCTTTTGTTTTTGCATAAATTAGGAAGTTTGAGGGTTGACGAAATTGAAGCTCAAATCAGAAACGGTTCGTAGAGAGAATAGATAAAGAGAAAGTATATTTCTTGCTGGGGATGGCGGGGAAACGGGGTAAAAATTTAAAATTGCAGCCAGGAATTGAAATTAGGAATCACTTCCTTAGGCTAAAAGCAGTGGGAATCTGGATCGTTCTCCCATAAAAACCTGCGGGTGCTGGCAGTCAACAGAAGTTTATGTAAATATAATGGGTTATTAGGGGAGTGAGGTCAGAGGTGGGAATATTCTTGAGGTACAGATTGACTTTGATCACGGAACAGGCTCGAAAGATTTAATGGCCTTCTCTTATTCCTGTGTTCCTACAAACAAATCAGAATGCGTAAAGTAACGGGGGGTGGGGGGAGCAGGGGCGAATTGTTGGATTGTGAGTCTTTTCAAAATTTAGAAATTGACGTGGTGAAATTGTTTATACACATTTGCTCGGTCCGTGTTGCATGAGGTGTCTTGGGGAACTGGGATGCTGTGGCCACTTCAAGCTGGACAGTTTTAGAACATCAGCCTGTGTGGTCAACAGATTAAATACGTTTAAAGTTTACAACGTACAGCGCTATTAATCAATGCTCATAGTGTCGTCGCCATTCATTGGGAAACGCTGCATGGAACTGTTGGGACCTGGGGATTTCAGGCGAAAGCTAAAAGATCCATAGATTTTTCCCGATCTTCCCACAGCTGCAAGCCTCTGCCTTCGATATAGTTCACCTTTGCAGATTGATATCATTAACAAAATGGAGAGGAGGATTCCCCCTAGGGTCAAAAGGCCAAGTCCAGCAATCACACACCGGTCCAGGTGAGCCCCGACCCGGGCGCTCTCCTTTTGAAGGTTCTCCATCTCCCGGGCTGAAACACTGTCTGGATTCACAGTCACATCGCGGGGGATCACGTAGGATATGATGACCAGCGTGATCCCACTGAACAGGAAGAGCAGGGCGCTGATAAAGCCATAGTCCACGGATGTGTCCGAGCTCTCGGACGAGCTGTCACCATCAGACTCTATCGAGAGTTCCTGCAAACCTTCAGGGATAGTTCTGATGTCGCTGGAAGAGCCGTGGTAGGATTGCACGGTGTAGCTTTTGTCGGACAGAGTCGGACTTGCACGTTGCAAGTTGACATTTTCGTCCACGTAAGTGAAAGATGTTTCCAGTTCCTGGTCGCAGCAACACACCCTAATGTCCTTGCCGGCTGGGTGGTACCGCTGCTCCTGTTTATAGCTGTAGCTGTCGTATGGAGCTGTCCCTGGTGCTGAACCGGAGAGGCACGGGAACGATGCATGCAATCCCCACTCCAGTTCTTTCCATGCACACGGTTGACTGTTGCCTTCTCCGAGATAAACCAATTCCACAGAAGCCATTTGACAATGCGAGGTCTGTCCCTTCCAAACCCACCCACGGGTGTCCTTTTTAAGGCATCGCTGATGGAAAGCAGCTGCCTGTACAGAGGAGCACACAGCTCTCCAGCAGTTTGATACTGACTGTAAAAATAAACCCTTGGGCAGAACTAGCCTCCAGTTAGCGCCACAACCTCTTCACGAAGCTCAAAGTCAGATCGGAGTCAACATGTTTCAGTGCCTCTCCCATCTCTATGCTTCTGTCTCTCGTTATTGGAACAGAACCAGCCTGCCGCTCTCAGGGAATAGCTTTAAACGTGCATTTATGGACTGGAGCTGAGCCGGGAATTAACCAAATGGAGACGTATATCTGTTGATTTTTTTTTAAAAAAGCCAAGTTTATTAAAATAACGGAGGAATTTCGAAAACTCACATAGATGCGCTACTTAAAAAGAGTATATCAGTCTAGACTGCACGTTGGGCGCGCTCCTGTAGTCTCATTTAACGCTTCTCTGGTCGCACAGGGCAAGAGGCGGAGAATGTGTTACATTAATGGGTGTTCTAACTTGCATCAATATTAGAGCCCAGTATTTTGTTTTAATAAACGAACCTCATTCCCATGATTACGCCGTTTTAAATTCTTTGCAGTCAGGAATAGAACCCATTAGCATAAAATCAAATTACTCCTGGGCAGCAGATGGTGAACTCCCTTTCACTCCTCGTAAATCCTATGTTTGCAGCGAGCCGGGTTTTTAAACCCTAAGCATGGCAATCCCCAGGTATAAATACGTCAGAAAATTGAGAAGCGAAACTTTCTCTCCTCCTGCCACACTGCATTTAAAAAAAATAGATTTGTTACCCAATCAAAGGCGATAAACTTCAAACCAACGCCCAACAAAGCCTTTGCCAAGAACTCTTGATACCAGAGAGGAAATCTTGTTCAGTTTAGTCACACGCGGCGGCTTATATATATTCAGCTCTCTCTTTCTCTCTCTTTCTCTCTGTGCCCCCGAAGATCAGGAAAGAGTGAGAACATCTCTGAAAATAATTAGCACTGATCCCGCATTCGCACCAGTGAAGGCTATGCAATCATAAGCAGTATTTCTCTTTCCCCTGATATACCTGGTCCAGGCTTTCTGCGGTATTTCGCTCCAGGCTTGTCCTTCTCGGTGTAATTGAAAGCAGACCAGTGTCTGACCGAGATCCCTCCCTTCGTTGGGCTGCGCCGGTCACATTCTGGACCCGATGATGTGTCAATCCCGGACTGTACTCGCAGCGGAAACTCGGGAATCCAGATCTCCAACAGGCGGAGCACTCTGGGAACTGGAGTCTTACCGTTCCGCAATCCAACCCCTCCCTCCCGGCTGCCTGTGCGGCAATCACCACCTGGAGCCAACCTACTCAGCTATAAAACAGCTTCCAAAGGCAGTTTGGATCTCATATCAACCACATGCAATCATTAGTTATTACAGACAAATGCCAGTTCCTAAAACCTTTCGATCCCAGACCGCTTCGTCACAGAATCATCGAAAGGTTACCACACGAAGGAGGCCATTTGGCCCTCCATGTTATTGGAGGCTGTAAAAGCAAATTAACTGGTTTAATTTCCCCGCCCTTTCTCCATTGAGCAAATGGCGTTTTTACAGTTCCCCTCCACTTCAGGCGTTTTTACAGTTCCCCTCCATTACCCCCCCCCCCCCCATTGAATCTGCTCCACCATAGTCTTGGGTCCTGCATTCCAAATCCTAACCACTGATTGTGTAAAGATGTTTATCTTCGTGTTGTCTTTGGTTCTTCTGCCAATCTCAATTAATCATTATCCTCTGGTTCTAGATCCTTCCACCAATAGGAGCAGTTTCTTTCTATCTAATCTGCCCAGACCCCTTATGATTTTGAAAACCTCCATTCAATCATCCCATCACCTTTTAAGTAAACACACCCACTATTTCTAACCTATCCAAAGTTCCTGATCCAAGGATCCATTTCACGAATCTTTTCTGCACTCTTTCTAATACCTTCACATCTTTCCCAAACCGAGATGTCCAGAACTGGCCATACATTGCCTGCTGTCGCTGAACCAGTGTTTGAGAATCATTCAGCATAACTTCCTTGTTTTGGTATTCTATACCCTTTTCCTACAAAGCTCGGGGTCTTGCATGCCTTTTTGACCACTTTCCTAACTGTTCTTTCACATTCAATGACATGTCCGGGTGTAACTCCACACCTTCTGTCCCTGCATCATCTTTAGACTTGCACCCTTGGCTTTATCAAAGTAATTACTTCAACAGAAAAAAAGGCCGCCAGCACATGCGCAGACTGAGCCGCCTTTATTTCACAGCAATTAGTTTTTTTTGCAAAGCAATGGTCAATCCCCCATGCTGCCTCAACTACTTCTCACACTCCCTTCTGGCTTCTGGCACTCATTCATACTGAGCCAGGTGAGGAGGGGAAAGTCGCTTTTCAGTAGGAAGGGAAGTTTTGAGTCACTAAGATCCCTCAGGACTATATATAATTGGTAGCGTCATATTTGTACGGGGTGGGGTGGGGGGCCGGTGGTGGTGGCTGCTTGTTGATACTGCCTCTGGGTAGCAGCATTGCAATGCAACACTGTGTTCCTGTACGTGTGCATTCATTTCTCCACCTGGTCGTGGCATACACAATAAACGCACTTTTTGTTTTATTATATTGTCTCTCCATGTTCTTCCTACCAAAATGTACCACGTCACATTTCTCAGTATTACATTTCATCTGCACATGCTTGCCTTTTCCACCAAGTTGTTCATGTTCGATTGAAGGTACGGGGGTGGGTTACTTTAGGTGACTGGATGGCTAGTTTCTGATGCAGAGTAGCCCAAAAGCAGGGGCTCAATTTTCACACTGGTTGAAGTTACCATGAAGGACTCTCCTTCTCAACCCCTTCCCTCGACAGAAGTGTAATGACCATCAGGTTAAACCACCACCGATCTTCCTTTAATGAGAAAGCAGCCCTATGGTCTGCTAGGACTTTGACAATTTGTCTTTTATATAACTAACCTCAAAGTTCGCAATATTTCTAAGTTTTGTACTATGCACAAGTTTAGACAGTGTGTTCTTTACACCCAAGTTCATGTCACCAGTATTGATCAAGAGAGCCATGATCCTAATAACAACTTCTGGGGAATCTGTTCTCTATTCCTGCTTGTTTTCCATAACATGTCTACATTGTATCTATGCTGTCACTTTCCATTCTTTCCAAACAATTAAGTACTCCTAAACTGGAGGCTTTGCTATAATCTAGGAAAACAACAGCAATTTAGACAGAGAGACTCCAATATCAGTGATGTAAGAAATAATCAGATAATTTGTTCTCATTCCTCGTGTTGAGGATTTTTTTTTAGAGAACACCGAACACCTCCTATTCTTTGAATATTGGCATAGAATCTTTTGTATTCACTTGAGATAGTTGATAATGCCTTTTCTCAATATCTAACCTGGAAGATAGCATCTCTGGTAGTGCTGCAGTCCCTCAGTACTGTATTACAGCACCAGCCTAGAATTCATGCTCAAGTCCTTGATGTTGGTCAGGACCTTCAACTCAGGCAGAGTCATAGTCATAGTCACTGGACTAGTCACAAAGATAGTGCCCTAAAATGAATAAATTATATTTTAGTTAAAAATGTAGTAGGAACATCATGTAGTTGGGTGTTCTTTTAGTTTAGAGCCCGGTTTGGTATTAAGACAGTACGCGAACGTATTTTGTCACAGCCACACAGCTTTGAAGTTTCATTTACCTTCCAATTAACAAAAGGCTTGGTTGATAGCCAGACGATGTGCCAAAATACTTTGCATCCAAGAAATGCTGCTAGTAATTTGTAATAAATACACCAGTCAGTGTGCTTTCTATATATTTTTTATTGATTCATTGAATGCTGGCATCACGTTAGGCCAACATTAATTAGCCATCCCTAGTTGCTATTGAGAAGGCGATGGTGAGTTGCCATTTTGAACCACCACACTCTATTAGGTAGACCCAGAATGCCATTCAATAGGAAGTTCCAGGATTTTGACCCATCACATCTGAAGGAACTGCGTTATATTTCAAAGTCAGGATGGTGAGTGGCTCGGAGGGTACTTGCAGGTGGTGGTGTTCCCGGGTCTCTGCTGCATTTGTCCTTCTAAATGCTAACGTCCATAGGTTTGGAAGGTGCTATCTAAGGAGCCTTGGTGAATTTCTGCAGTGCATCATGCAGATGGTACACACTGCAACAAATAAGCATCAGTACTAGAGGGAGTGAATATTTGTGGGTGTGCTGCTTTGTCCTGGTTGGTGTCAAGTTTCTTGAATGTCGTTAGAGCTGCACTCATCCAGGCAAGTGGGGAGTATTCCATCACACTCCTGACTTGTGCTTTGTGGATGAAGGACAATCCTTTGGAAGTCAGGATGTGAGTTACTAGCATTTCTATCCTCTGGCCTGCTTTTGTAACGATTGTTTTTTTTTATGTGGCGAGTCCAGTTTAGTTTCTGGTCAATGGTAGCGATGCGCCCAACAAGATTCCACAAACTGTAATAGGTAAATGACCAGTTTTTGAGTGTGTGTGGTGTTGATTGAACAATAAATATTGTCCAGGAAACTGGGGAGATCTCCTCGACTCTTCCGTGAAATTCTCTTCCATGCGGTACAATATTTAATATCCACCGAATAGGACAGAAGGCGCCTCCTTTTGACAGATTTGGTAGTGCAGGGCCGTCGGTTTATTTCGGTGCTCAAGTCTTACATTAGGGGTGGAAGCTGTAGCTTTCTGAATCAAAGGCGAGAGTGTCCGTCACTGAGCCGCAGCTAACATCAAGTATGGCTTCCAACAGTTCGTAAGATTTTCCTGGAATAGTCAAGCCTTTCAGTCACTTTAGGAAGAAACTGTTATGCCAAAAATTGTCCATGTAATGAGGGAGATGGGAAATTGCTGCTGGGAATTAAAGGTTCAACTCCACCCCATTCAGTGAATGAAATGATGGATCCGTCAAAAAAAATCACTTTGACCCGGGC